CATACGTGTAAATGCTGTGCCTGGGAGCAATACACTCTAGTGTGAGCTGCACCAGAGCTTATTCCATTAAACTAATTTCACATGTAGATGCACCCTCTAAGTCTGAATAAGAGGAGAGAGTTCACCTTTATTTGGTTCACTTCATGCATATTAGCTCTTTGGTTCTCTATTTAGTGCCCCACCTGCTTTCTTTATAAAAAATGCACTTCAGATCAATTTAATGTCTCATACTATGGAGATGACAGCATTAGAAGTGGCCGGTGGTTTGGTTACAGGAAGTACGGTTGTGTAGTTAAGGCAGTCAGTTGAGACTTGGGATCCAGTCCTGCATCTGCTACAAACACCGTGTTGTGATTTAGGGCAAATTTCTTACAGCCATATCCAATAAAGGATTTATGTGTCTAAACATTAGGCACCACCATGTTTAGGTTTTAGTCATTTCACCAGAGTGCCATCCATAACACTGTATTAGGTGTCTAGGCTTTCTATAATGAAACATTAAATGCCTCAGGCTGGTATGGCAAGTAACCAGCATGCAAAGAAAGAAACTACCAATAGGTATCCAATAGGGAAATACTGAAGACAGAGGTGAATGTTAAATCCTGCCCATGAGGATGGCAGGGAGGTATTTCTAACTGTTGAAAATCCACAGCCCAGAAGCCTCTCCTGCAGGTGGGCATCCAACGGCTCATGCTTTTCTGTTAAAGTACATCTGGAGGAGGTCCTGCCATAATGATTGTGGTCTATCCTAAGTCAGAACTCAGTAGTGAGAAGTATTCAATTATATCATATGATTCAATGGCATGTAACAATGACTATGAATAGGAAGGGTATGTCAAAGAAAGGTCTGCAGATAGCACCTGGACTGTGTTGAGATCATGGCCAATATATAAGAGGACTGTAGGACCAGGAATGAATTCAACAAAATTTGGTGTATTGAAAGTTAGGGCTAACTGGTGAATGATCTATTCAGCACTTCACCCTTTTGGAAGCTTTCAAACAAAGTCTGTGGGAATTACAGACAAAAATGGTTTCCTTGGGAAAAGCCAGCTTTGTGGCTCTTCAGAGACCATATCTTTTGTTGGTAAGCCTTAGCCACCAGGGCATTTAGACCAACCAAGCTACTGGTGAAGAGACTTTGCTGGTTCATGGTGATCATTGAACTAGCAAGCTCCTGCTTTATCTTTCCCTTTCCTGTTCTTGTAGACCTTTCTCTGCCCCCCTCCCCAACTCCTAACTCTCTTCTTTCCATTCTGTCTTCCTTTTCCTCAATTTCTCACTTGAACATGAGACAGTGCTTAGCAGCTTATCACAAGACAAGACCGCTCTACCTAGCCCGAGAGCAGCAGCGTAGGGTTACAGCCAGGCCCCTGGAGCACGGGGACAGTGGTGACTTCTAGTTGTGCTGTGTTTATAATTGCAATTACATGATTGCCAGTAGCAGCCACATTTTTTCAGCTCGCTAAGTAACACCGTTGGCTGGTTGCCATCATAATTACACCATTGCCTAAGAATAATCAGTGAGAGAGAAAGAGACCTGGCTAGACCAGCCATATGCAATCTGAAATCAGGGAAGTGAGCCAGTCTAGACTAACGATTGTGGCTAGCCTGCTACCTCAGAGCATCTCTCTCTGACTGAGCAACCACCGTGTACCTGAAACCATCAACAAAAGCTATATTACCCCATGTGTTGACATGTTCTCTCCTCTCTACCTTGATAGCAGTGTGAATGAAGGGTGCAGGGGTGGATAACCTAGGCATACAGGCTAAGCTGGCTAGAGCCTGAGTGACTTTCTAGGGGCAAGCATCACTAGGAGAGTTTGAGTGGGGACTCTTGCTTGAGAGAGGAGCAGGAAGCCTTGGCTGCTTTGGAAGAGGGAAGAGTCGTGTTTGTACACCTGACAGTGCTAACTTTATTTGGCATCCAACAGTACCCTTGACAGGATCTCAGAAACCCTAGGATGCCGCCTTGACATCCTTCTTGAGAATTACTGCCTTAGATGCTTCCAAAAATGTTGCCCATAATGTCAAACTGGTTTCTGCTTTTTTAACTGAGGGAACAAGTTGAAAGCCATTTGACATAATCTTGGCAAGCTTGAAATGAATTTCAGAACAGGTATTTTCATAATTGAGAGTATTCTCATAGGAAAATTACTCTGTCACATTTTAATTAGGTAAAGGAGGGAGAGAGAGACAGGGAATACGCTATAGACCAGAAGTGTTAAAGAAATGGGGCTCCTGGAAGGGAGGTGCAGGCTGCTGCCAAAATCTGGGATGCATAACCTTGTGCAGCTGCATTTCAAGGGAAGGGGGATGAGTGACAGCTGTATTAATCACCATGCCACCCTGCACTGAGACACCGCCACATGCCCCACTGCTGCTCACCCCGCTGCCGGAGGTAGATCCAGATCTGGCCTGCAAGGAGCCCAGCTCCAGCCCAGGGGTGCCGCGCAATTTTGACACCTGTGCTATATGATCTTATAGTGACATATGCATTTTTGGTTTTTTGGCTCTCAAACAAAGATGACTGCTCCATTGTTCATTTAGGATGCTTACTGTTTAAAAGTTTCTGTGTTTTGATGAATATTAATGAGGCCTGTTTAATTAAAAGGATGAACCCAGGCTAGCACCTTCCATTTTAATCCCATAGTTTTATAACAGCACTTGAGAACTGTCAAGAATAGCTACCAAAAATCAAAATCACATAGATTAGTAGTTCGGTTTAGAAATGAGTGGAACTGCACTTCTCAGAAGACGTGATTCCCACGTTCCACCAAGGAAGTGTGTAAACTTCCTTCTCTTTCCTTCATAACCCCATGTTCCTTAAACTAAGAGAGGCCAACCTACAATTAAGTCATCAGGAATATTACTGCTGTACATTTACATACATTACTTCAGTTTCCCCACTGGTATTTCCTGTGAAGATAGACCCTAGGTCAGAGACATGAAAGGGAACTTAAGATGCTCTGAATTTTGGACATCAGGCATGACCAGGTAAGTATCTGATGGCAAAGGAAGGAAATATTTCAGAAATTGCTAACAGATGCATTCAAGCCTGACTAGAGAGTGCTCAGATGCAAAGCAGAACAGAATTGGTGTGCCATCTGCTGGTATAAAGAGAGAGAAATAAATACTGACTGAAGTTGGGCAAATCAGAGTGTGAGAGAATTTGGGCTGCCCAGAGACGCTGGAATAGAGGAAAATATGAATAAAACACTCTCTCGAAATGACTGGGTTGTTATTAGCTAAAAGCCCATAGCCATTTCTATTGCACAGACCCTTACTATTACCAGACTTTAGGTCTTCCTTACTACTCTTATTTACTCTCTAGCTTTGTGGTTCTAATATTTTTTTGTCATGAGTAACTTGTATTTGGTATATGACTGCCATACAGGACATTCATAAATCGTATTTTTGCAGTTCTTGTAGGATCTCCCTTTATTGATTGCTTCTATAATCTAGTCACTGGGATCTGGCAGTCAGGTGCATTATTGTGAGTGTTACAGCAGTGCCTACACTCATAGGCTATGTCCAGATGAGTGCGGCCGTGCGTTGTGGTGCTGCAGACACATCTGCAGTGCCACATACCGCACATTCAGCTGTTCTCTGTGCTGGAAGGTAGCGGGGGAGGGGGAGGCGGGGATTGATTGATGCCTGGAGATCCTGGGGCCAAAAAAAACTGCAAAAAAAACAAACTCCAAAAAAAAAAAAAATGTGGAGCAGCCCATGCCTCCCAAAACTGGAGCCTGACCAGCCGGAGTCATGCTCCAGCTGCCAGCCAAGCTCCAAATAGCAGGATTGCCGCTGCTGCAGCCCCAGGAAGCCCCCAGGACCACCACTGCTTCTTGTCGCTGGAGAAACAAACAGCCATGCTTGTGTGAACACGGCTACAAAGTTCTGTACTAACCTGCCATGGTATCAAAGTCAAATCTGGCATGTAGTTTCTCAGGGGCAGACTCTTCTCTACTTGTTTTAAAATCCAGATTAGGGATCTGGACAAGACACAACGATTCTCAACAGAGCAAAGCTCAGCAATGTAAGAATTAAGGTTTGCAATTTTTTTGTTTCCCCAGTAGAGTCCTGCTGAAGTAGGGAACAAAGTTTCATTATTATAATTGCTGTGATCAACCAGGGCTCTCTCATATCTCTTCCAGTGGTTTGGAACAATCTTCTTATTACGCTCACTCCACTGGATGTGTAGATTTTGCACACCTGTGCTCGTACACTCAGCCAATGGCTCCAGGCAGCAAATTAGGGAAATGCTGGGTTGAGCTTTTTTAAAGACTCAAGTTGGGAAACTAGGGCTGTGAGAAACAGCACCGTATCGTTTTGACTTCTGTTTCAAAGGGTCAATGTGTTTCATTTCGCTGTTTCGAAGCCCGGTTCCATTGCATTTAGTCAAAACTGTTTCACTGTTTCAACGCTGTTTTGATGTGTTTCAACATTTCATCCGTAGGCTATAATGGGTTTTGCGTGCCCTCGCTTTGTTTCGAAGCCTGTTTCATTTCAATTCTGCTGTTTTGAGCTCAAGACGCGTTGAAACAGTTTTGAAACGAAACACCCATCGAAAATTCGCACAGCCCTAGAAACCATTGTGTGAAATGTGTGGAGGGAAATCTTGTTAACAGGGCCTTCAGGAAGAGTCGAAGCAGACAGTTTATACCAGTTTCTAAGCACATATGTATTTTTAACTTATTCGTGATTTACCTTCTAGCTCACATACGAATGTCACAATTTCTGGTAGTAATAAACAAAAATCCTGTAGATGAATGTTCAATTTTAGACTTTTTTTTTCTGTTAACATCCTAACAAGGCATATCTTCCTCAGCAACCTTGATCAACAGCATGGGGCCGCTGTTTATTTTGATAACAGCTCCACTCATTTCTGCTCTCAGAGAACAACCACCTTCTCTCCAAGCCATGTTAAAGAGATGGTAGCAGTAGTACAAACACATGACTGAGAAGCCTAGTCAGAGTAAGACAAGGAAGAAAGACCGCAGTTTAAAACAAAATTTCTTTTATTGTCTTTAATCAAAGAGTATAGTACAGAGGAACTACACAAAGGCTTCATTCGTATAAAAAAACGAGCCCTTTATTTACATAGGTGTTCAAAGTTACCATTTGGTAGCTAATCTCAACTTTTTTTCGATTTTCCTTTTTTATTTTGTTAGTGATTCCCACCTAGTTAGAAGCAAGAGTTGGTCAGTAATACTTAGAAAAAGCAGATTTAATGTGCTTCCTGGTAGGAAAGAAAAAAAGAACACCTTCTAAAAACCAACATGAAACTTTTCATTGTAACAAATCCACCAAAATACTTACAACCAAATACTGACAAAAGGAACTGTATTTTCTGAATAAGTTTAATGTTCTGATCATTCTCAGCCTTATTTATTCCCCTACCTAATAAAAAAATACCCTGGAGGAGCGTAAACTTGATGCATGAAGAAAAATGTAAAAATGCATTTAAAAGTAATTGTGCTTTTATTTATTTTTTTTTTAAATTTACAATCAGACACTGTCCTGCTGTGTTTTGGAAAGCATTGTTCCCTTAAAAGAAGATGACAAGCTTAGCTTATTATTATTATTATCATTATTATTATTACTTTGTCATTATATTAATAATATTAATTTTATGTTTACTATTGAAATCATAGTGCTTCCCCTATCTTTTTCTGTGGTACATGGTATATAGAAAAAAAAAGTTTTCCAATGACCCAAAGTATTCCATTATAACTAATAATAATAATGATAATTGAACATATAAACTTTTGTGTGTAAATATGGCTGGCTCTAAAACAAACTATCAATGTACAACCTGTTCCCCTGCCCCTTCCCCGAGTCATCCTAGAGACATTTAGATGATGGAAGACTCTCATCACAGAAGCTCTCTGAGGAAAATAAAACAGAAACAACACAGAACCCTTGAATTGTTGTCTTTGGTGTGAAGGACATTAATCATGAATAGCTAGAGCTGCTCTGCTGAAGAATCTGTGGTTGCATAAGGCTTGTCACTTAGACCATAAAAGAAGCCCCAGTTAGGCCAAGGGTCAACTGATGCTTTGGTAAAATTACCAGCCCCTCGCACCCTCCCACCAATTATTCCAGGAAGACCCTCCCAATCCCTCCCCCGACTTCTCCACCATGCCTGGGTTTTATGCTCGCTTTCGTCTTCCTTCTAGGTTCCGGAAGCTGGAGGGTCTCAACTTCATTTCTGCAAACTCAATGGAATATTCATGGCCCTTCCAATGGAACCAGTTAACACCCTGCAAAAACACAGGTGTGGCATGACACCACGTTGGTAAAGTAGTAATATTTAGCATCCTGTTTTCAAAACAATCACTATCATGGGCTTTACAAAGGAGTTTTGCCACTATGGCAGCCTGACAGTTCAAGCAGTGTCACATGAGCTCTTTCATGACTTTTACTATTTCTTCTTATGCGTTATTCCACATCAGGCTCTTTCTTTGGGGAAGGGGCAGAGGGAGGGCAGTAGAATCTATTCTTGAATGGATAAAAGCTCTCCCCCATATAAACATTCATGTGAACTCCCACAGAAAAGTGATTAAAAAAAAAAAAAGAGGAAGGTATGGAGTTTTTTGGATCAAATTGCAATTTTCATTTTGTGAATGTTAGTTGGTAATGTCCCCCCTGTGAGTCATTCAGTTTTAATTATGAGGGTTTTTTTTCTGGATGCCTCTGAGGTCTTGCATAGTGGCCAATGGATTACAGAACGGAGGAAGGATGTGACGGGCTGATTTGCCAACAGTCTGATGCCTCCTGGAATACTTATCTTGGATTGCTTTCAAATGGCAAACTCACCTGACTGTGACTGTTGTCACCATATCTGCCCATCAGATTGACCCGGTGGCAGTTCTTGTACCAGAAAGCTCCCTTGTATGACAAAGCACAATTAGTGATGGCAGAGTCATTGTCCTTGTCATAGGTAGAGAAGGCCCGTCCATTGTGATAGCTCATGGAGTCACCTATGCAGGAAAAAGAGGGAACAGTGTCAGGTTATGGGAAAACATACCTTTTAGCTGCTTATTTTCACCCTGAATGAAGTAATTAAAGTTGGAATAAGTTTACTACACTTGTAACTCCTACAAAGTGATGCAGATGGAACCCTTGCATTGCAACAGTTTGTATTGGTATTATTTGATATCCATAAGGTTATGTCTATCAGTTCTCTTAGGTGTTCATGTGGACTGGCCAGGAACCACACGTTTTACTCTGATATGATTGCAAGAGATGGCTGAAGTCTTTAACAATATTGTAAAGCATGTTATAGCAAGGATTGGTAATATATTCTTAACAGATTGTAGCATGACAGGTTGTTTTAAGCTTTATAAATGACAGCCAAACATTACCAGAATGAGATGTGTGTCTGTTTAATATGTTCATTTACCTTCTGTCCTAAGCATGCTATAAAAATGGGTACATAAATGAATGGAGTATTTAAAATAGAATCATAAAAGAAAGCAATACACTCAAATTTTCATATCTCTAACACAATTCTTCCCTTTGATAACAATGATCTCCATCATTGCATATAGAATTTGTTGTTCTGAGAGAACTGGAAGGAAATTGTCACCCAGGGACTATCTGAGGAAATATAAAGCTCATTTTGATTTGGAAAAAATATCAATGTTTCAGCCCACCTGCTGTGCCAGTGTATCCATCCACTTTTAGCCGATATCGGGTCTTGGAGTCTCCAACACTAAACTTGTCATAGATAGCAAAAGCTGTCTCGCCCTTGTCTCGCAGATCCACACGCAGTTCATACTGGCCCTGAGAGGTGATTTTGTGGAGATTCTCCAGGCCTGAAGTAAAGAAGTGAGGAATAAAGAACAACTATATTGTCTCTGTTGAAAACTTATGTCACCATATTCTGTCATAAAAGCTAAAAGTAATATTAATACTCTATAAATACATCAAAAGCATAAACAGCAGAAAGGGAAAAGAGCTATTTAAGTGAAAAGAGTATGTGGGCACAGAAACAAATGCATGTACACTGCCCACAAACAAATTTAGGCTAGAAACTGGAAGCAGGCTTCCATCTATCAGAGGAGTAAGGTTCTGGAATAGCCTTACAATAGGAGTAGAGAGGGCAAAATTCTAATTTTAAGATGAAGCCTGATAAATTTATGAATGCAATTATACGATATAAATGCCTCCAGTAGCAGGGAACTGGACTTAATGACCCTGGAGGTCCTTTCTAGGCTTCTCTTCCCTTATTTTATTCCATATTGCATCATCGCTGCTATGAGCCTCTTTGCAGTAGAGAACAAAATATTGTTGTTTATCCAATGGAATCGTGAGCATACACCCTTAACTGTGAATCAGGGGTACTCCTTATTTTTAGAAAGCTCTTGACCCTTGCTTACCCATCCAGAACTCATCCTTGGGATCACCAAAGCCAGCAGTGTATGTCCTCCAACTCCTGTAGAAATCCTCTTTTCCATTATGGCGCCTCAGGAACACCTACAATCCCAACATGCAAGTAGTTTTACGTCTGACAGATTTTAACACATGCTGTAATACAAGGAGGCTTAGCTCTGCTTGGTGCACTGAGCACAAGACGACAAGGAAACATGGATATAGTGGTCCATCCCACCATATACTCACAATCCATCCACCGCCATCAGAGCCCATGTCACAGTACACCTCCAGTGGCTGAGACTTCTCTCCATTCAGATAAATGGTGTAGAGTCCAGAGGCAGTTTCTCCGTTCAGTAGAGCTTGAGAGCAGTCTTTAGGGAAAGGATAGAGAAGTCCACCTGCAAGCAAAGGAAGAAAGCAGAGAAGAGCTCTTGAGAAAACATTTATTATAAGTAAGAAAATTAAGACAACTTGCCCAAGGTCTTGCAGCAAGCCAAGGGCACAAACAGCCATAAGAGGTCCTTATCCTAATCACTAGAAAATCCATGATACAAAAGCTGTATACAAAGCTACTGATAATTTGTGTTTCATGAATAACTTAGGGACACACTTTTTAAAGCCAGGATTCTACAGTTTTTGAAAGTGCAATTAATGCATTTACCTACCTACTTATCTGTTATATAAACACAATGTGTAAGTGACTTTAGTTATATCTGAAATACCTGCAGGGCAAAAGCACACCTATAATCATTTGCTACATTGGAGTAGGTCTGAAAGTGAAGGCAAAAGCTAAAGTCACCGCTTCACCTATAAGATGTAAACATGTAGTTGAGAAGAAGAAACTTTTGCAGGGCAGTACTTACATGCTTACTTCCCACTGAAGCCAGTAGAATTCATACACGTGCTTAAAATTAAGCTGAAATTACGGAAACTCATGTTTTACCTTTAGAATTCAATCCTTGGTTGTAACCAAGCTGGCAAACATCACTTAAACACACAAGGATCCAATTCTGATCTCAGTTGTTGGTGGAGCTCTATTAACTTTAGTGGAGTTACTCCTACTTTGCCACAGTGAGCAGAACCAGGACTATGTGCCTTTTATAAGCCCTTGACCTAATTTCAGTACATGTAGTAAAAGGAGAATATGAATATCTGAATATGTTGCTGCATTTGGAAGACCAAGATGAGAAAAGAATGACAAACAGAATTTCATAGCAGTTTAAATCCTAAGCAACACCATTTTGTTTTCATTGCCCCAAGAAAAAATGTCATTCAGAGAACTGTCTACTAGCTGTGGCAATTTCTATGTGACCTTCTGCAGACCCAGTTCATTATAGCATTCGGATCGCCCTTGCAACTAGAATCAGAAAGAGCACCCAAGAGTAGCAGGGAGAAACCTGATTGCAGTGGGAAGGAGAGAGGAAACTTAGTTCAGGAATTACACTGTGAGGACTTTGGGACAAAAAATATTTGATTTGTTTACATTTTAAAAGTTGGCTTGTTTTACCATTTTTTATTTGAAAAAAAAATGTACATGTTGACTGGAAAGATTAACAAAAATGTCTTGCTAATGCTTTATACAAAAAAACTGATTTTTTTTCATCAGAATTCTCATTCATGCTTCATATAGATGAAGTGTGGCAGGGCTTATTAGCTGAATTTTATCCTTCCTGTTAAGGGCTAGAAAAAGGATTGTTGCCCAGCATGGAACACAACTTTCTCTGGCCCTCTGTGCTATGATTGGATAGCATTGGTTTTAGCACGCTGTGGGCACATCTACACGAGAGATTTACAGCAGAGCTGACTAATTAGCTCCACAGTGAAGTCTCAGCATCTGTACATGTGGCCCTATTAAGCCGCAGTAAACTAATAAATGCCTCCGTGGGATAGTACTTGTAAACACAAGTACTGTCCTGTGGCAGGGTTATTTAGTGTGCTGCAACTCACATATAGACACTGATGGGACTGGCTGGGGCATGAGGGCTTTTCCATAGAGGGGGCTATCTGCCGGCTAGCCCTTCACTGGAGCCCCCTTGTGCCCCAGGCAGCCACTCTGCAGCACATTGAGCTAGTCTGGTGCAACCCTGGGCTGACAGGCTCAGCCCCTGGGCCCCCTGCCAGCCAGGCTTCTCCAACCTAGTGCAACATGCTGCAGTCCTGGGTGCACATGTACATGTGGTGCCTAGGAGCAATAAACTCTGGTGCAAACTGCACCAGAGTTTATTCAGGTTCATTAATTTCATGTGTAGACATGCCCTGTAAGTAGAGTCAATAGAATTCAGGGGGAATTATGTTTGCTTCCTCCAGATCTTAACTTGATGAACATTTTCAGAACTTTTCAGTGAAAAAGACACTAAAACAACATTTGTTACCAAGCCTCTGCCACAGATCAAGGACCTTACTTGTCGTGAAAATAGTGTGGATGATGTTGCTCTTCAGGGATCTATTCAGTGCCCTCAGTTTCACTGTGTACTGAGTGGATGGGCTCAGCTCAGTCAAATCATAGGAAGTTTTCTCAGGTTCCAGGATGACTTCCTGTAGAGGGAATAAATGAGAGAGAAATCTCCAGTTAGAAATCTTTTAGTCTGAAACAAGTGCATATTTTAGGTGTTAATTTCTTTTAATTTAAATCATTTATGCTTTTAAAGTCATTGAAGTGATTTATTACAAAATTTTTACTCCCAAAAGCTTTTCCCCCTGTTAGCTTCTATTAGAAGTGTGAGAGAATGTGTCCAGAAATGAATGTTTAATATTATAATGTTTAACTTGTGTAGCTTAACAACAAATCATGGTAAAAGTCTTTTAGAGTATGTCTTTAGACAACTTTGATTGAAATTTTCAACGGTGACCAGCAATTTTGGTTACCCACTGTGAAATAACTTGAAGGGAACAGGTTTTCAAACAAATTGCTGAGCAGCCACCCCTTCAAAATTAGGCCTCCTCAACAAATCTCAAGAGGGCACTCAAAATCGCTAATCAGTTTGAAATATGAAGGCCTAACACTTCTATGGCATAGACTTTGAATGGAAGAAAGTAGAGAGTTGTGTGTTATCTTTTGTTTTGCAGAGTGCTGGTATTCATAGCACAGTTTAGACTGCAGCTAAGTCACCATTACTATCTGCAATTCAGGAAGACTCTTAAACTTGTATTTAAATCCATCTCTGTTTGGGGTAGCACTTGAGACACACACTTATGTCCCATTCCCTGGCACATTTTGAGCACGTCTACTGCCAACATCCCAATGGCAGACTTCCTGGTTTAGATCCAAGTTCTGTACCTTGACTTTGCCATCAGCAGACTCATAGATTAGGAGATAGCCAGTGAGAGAAGCACGAGGAGGCCTCCATGTCAATACTGCTGTTTCTGATTGAACATCAATGGCACTTAGATCTCTTGGAGCATCCAACCCTGAAAGAGACAAGAAGCAGGCAATTAGCCATGATAGTCTGAAGTCCAGCAGCAAGCAGGGCAGAGTTGAACCTTACAGACTTAACTAATCCATTGATCCATAAACTGTCATAAGCAGCAGCTCACTTCAGTGGATATTAAATAAATAAATAGCATCTGATGAAGGAAACTGTTGCTTACGAAAGTTTCTGCATCTCTGAATTAGTTAGTTTATAAGGTGCAACTTCACCCTGCCTCCTGAAAGAGCTGTGGCTGAGTTGCAGCCAGATCCAGGGCATGTCTACATGTGCATTTACGCCAGCTTAAATTTACTGCACAGTAAATTACTGTGCAGTAAGCAGGAATAGACTGGCATCTAAGGCATACACATACCTTTTTGTCCCACCATATGCTGGAGATTTGTTGCTTGGGAGCAAGCTCAATCACATGTGAGCTGATGTGAACAGTGCTGCTCCATGGTCAGTTGTATAAGTGGTGAAATGAGTGTCAGAGCACAGAAAATGGCAGTGGTGCGCATTTGAACTAAAACACCTCCAATGTGTTAATTCAAAAGTGCGCTCCTGCCATTTTCTCAGCACTGACATGCATTTTGCCAATTATGTGCAAAATGCATGTGTAAAAATGCCCTACATGTGCAGGCATTAAAGTGTATTATTGCTGTGTGTGGACAGTCCACACACAACGCTACTGTGCAGTAAGGTGTCTACATGTGTGTCACTGTGCAGGAACTAATTGGGCATTAATGATGCAGGTATCAAATTTACACTCAAGTCAGCATAAGTCACCATATTTACTGCACAGTACAGGCGTGCACCCATACTGCACAGTAATTTCACTTGCTGTGTAGTAAATGCACACATGTAGACATGCCTCCAGAAAAGCACATCATAGAAGCTATCCTGCATGCACAGAAATGTGTATTAGTCTGGTATAAGAACCAAAACTTTTCCAACAAAATGTTTCAAACAAAAAATAATCAAATTCTGTGTCTAGTTTAAGAAAAAAGAAGAAAAGAAATGTATTTTTTTTCAGCCTAAAATGATAGTTCGGTTTGGCATTTTGATTTAAGTTTTAACTGGAATGTCAATTTAAAGCAAAAATATCCTTTTAATAGTTCACATAGGAAAACTGAAATTATGTCTTCAGAATGGACATTTTCCCATGAAAAGAAACTTGGTTTCGACAAAACCATATTTTTAGCAAGAAATGAGTTATTGAAATCCTGGCCCAATTCCTACCCCCCAGCTTCTTTCAGGGTTTAAAAAAAAAGATTATTTAGGAAGAAAGTTAGGCCTCATTAAAGAAGGATGACTATATTGTGTAAAATATGACTAGGGCTCATGAGCTATGGATTCAGGTCTCAACTCTGCAATAAACTTTCATGAGTAAGCAAACTAACTTTTTTGTACCTCAGTATCTCGTAACTGAAATGAAAATATTTCCTTACTGCAAAGGGATTTGTGTATGGATAATTTAATTCATTAGCATAATGAGGCATAATTTAGAAACTACTGTGATAGTATCCACACATATAGATCCTAATGGTCTGAAGAAATTGGGTGGTGGGATCCTACTCTAATGCCCTACTTACTAGATTGTGGGAAATCAGTTGTAGAACTGTGATCTGAGAGGCTAGTTAACTGAACAATTTACACTACTGCTGGGCTGATCTATGTGACAACAGACTGCAAATACTGTTCTGCTTTAGATTTTCAAGTTAAAAAATGGAGCAAGTACAGTGCTTGATTGCTGATAGCCTAAGAAACATAGCCTTTTATAGCACTACATGAGGTTGTACAGCTGGGGGAAAGACAATGTGGTACCTGTAGTAAATTTGGTTGATATAGTTGCACTCTGCTGAGCATCCTTTACTGCATGCATCCTCAGTATATACTCAGTTGCAGGTCGAAGGCCATTAAGGTCATATTCCACAGTGTTCCCAGACACCATCTGCTTCACTTCTGGCTCTAAATAGCAAAATGCACCAAAATGGGAAGAGATAACTTGTACTGTTTATGGACAACTCAAAGCCAATGCAACCCTTCAGCATGATGTGTACTTCTCAAACAGCCTTAACGCCTGTGATCAGTTTAATTTATCACTGTCTGTGGAATGTGGGAATGAGGCTAAAAGAAGCAGAAGTATTGAGCTCATTGGAATCAGTGCATCAACCTGCACCAAGGCTAAACTTGGGTTGCTGCGGTCTCTGATCATTTCTGTAGAAAAAGTATTTGCACATCCTTAGGCACATGATGAAGATAATAAGAGGGCCTGTTTCTTTCCAAAGTGACCACAGACATAGTTTCTTAACTGTTCATCATCTGGAACAGGCACTGACAACTAAAGTGAGAATATTTTAAAATAAGTCAAAGTGCTACATCTAGGGAGAAAGAATCACCAACACACCTACAGGTTAGGAGGTGACTTTCTAAGCAGCACAGCAGCAGAAAGGGATCTCGGAGTCATAGTTGACTCCAAAGTGAACATGAGTCGTCAATGTGATGAAGTGAAAAGTAAAGCTAACCGCACTTGCTCATGCATTGGAAGGTGCATCACAAGCAGGTGTAAGGAGGTGATGCTTCCCCTCTATGAGGCATTGGTAAGACTACAGGTGGAGTAGTGCATCCAGTTCTGGGCACCGCTCTTCAAGAGGGATGTGGATAACCTTGAGAGAGCTCAGAGGAGGGCTACTTCAGAGGAGGGCTACTCTTATGGTTAAGGGTCTACAGGTTAGATCCTACGAGGAGAAATTGAGGAACCTGAATCTCTTCAGCCTCTGCAAAAGGAGGCTGAGAGGGGATCTTGTAGTTGTCTACAGATTCATTGCGGGGGGGAGGGGGCAGCAAGAAATAGGGGATACTCAGTTAGCAGGGTGCTGCTTGGGGTTCCTAGGAACAATGGCCATAAACTGACGGAGAGCAGATTTAGTTTAGACATTAGGAAAAAATTCTTTACAGTAAGGGTTGCCAAAATCTGGAATGGCCTTCCAAGGGAGGTGGTGCTCTCCTCTACCTTGGAGGCCTCTAAGAGGAGACTAGACAAGCACCTAGCTGGGGTCATCTGACCCCAGCACTCTTTCTTGCCCAGGGCACGGGGTCGGACTTGATGCTAAGGTCCGCTCTGACCCTAAAAACCTGTGAAATCTATGAAGTCTAATGTGCACTTACAATTCAAAATAAAATTCTCTTCCGTTAGCATGGGTGCTGAGTACATGGGGATCCAAAGGCCCCTTGGGAAGAAGGCTGTCATTTGAAATGCAGAAAACTTTCCACATGTCCATCATCTTACCCTCCCCCCCGCCACCCTGGGCAAAAATAAATGTTGATGCCTGAGCCTGTTGGGTTTCTGTTACTGAATCCATTCTGGATCATCTCGCAGTGGCTGTAGACTTATCAACTCAGAGAACCCCCACTGATTGCACTTACCCTCCTCAGAAATATAGGAGATGACATAATTGTCCACAGCAGCAATTGCTGGCTGCCAGGTTGCTAAGGCCTCAGAATCTGTGATATTCACCACCACTAGGCCAGATGGGCTGTCCAGAGCTGAAGGGGAAGATAATATTGAAGGGATTAAAGAAACACATTAAAAGCCTCTTTGTTACATGCAATACATAGTGGGCTGGGCACATAATCAAAACTGTGCACAAACTGCTGCTTGATCTAGTTGATCAGATCCCCTTCAGAATGCTTGGGCTTTATAGCAAAGACATCACGTTATGAAAAATGTCAACAGATGCCACTGGTGCAAAGCAAGGTAATTGCAAGAGAGAATTAAACAAATCCCAAGAGGCATACTCTGATAACTAGTTATATTCATGTTCCGAATCCAAAAGCTCTCAGGTACAGTCTTGACATCATCAGTCTTGAGGCTTTTATCAGAGCTGACATATTACTCCCAACATCCTCCATTTCAGGCAGTTTCTTGGAGGAAACTCAGACTCCTAAGTCTGGGATAAGAAATGATGTCTGTCCACAGCCATGGTGACCTATTGATTCACTCAGCAATTTTTTCATTGCATATCCTGCTTTTCTTTTCTTGTTTCCCCTTCTTTTTCTTGTTTTTTTTCCTTGTAGAGACCCTGCCTTTCCCTTCATTTCATGCCTCTCTGTTGGGAACCTGCATTGGTTGCTCTGATTAGAGCAGAAAGGGGACATCAAGTACATCTTCCTCTCTCATGTTGAGTACATTGAACCCTCACCCGTGGTTCTGAGCTCCTAGTGATCTAGGAAACAGTTATATTGTGCAAGATTCTGTAGTTTCTGTGATCTTAGGTATCCTTTCATCTCTAATTTCTGAGCCATCTATATGACTACCTGAAAAAAGATGAAGTTGAGTCTGCTTTCTCTTTGGTATTACCTGTTTTCAGAGATCCAGAGACAGGCTCACTTTCTTCAAATCCTTTGACAGAGGTGATGTTGACAACATATTCTACACCAGGGATCAGTTTCACCAACTTGGTCCTAGTCTTGGTTCCATCAACTGTCACAACATTAACAGTACCTAAAATCAAATGAAATGGTGAAGGAATGGTGAGATGACATCCCAACTAGTGTTTAGGCTTGCCCTGCCGTGTTCCAAACAAATATGATCTTTTCCAGGATGAAAATGGGTTTTTCCTATGAAGCTGAATTTTCCTCGAGGTTAAAACCACTAACATAATGGTATTGCCTGGGTGTAGACCAGGGAAAATTTAGCATCTGAGGATAAATGAAGATAATATAAATATGAATCAAAGAGACTGGGTTATTAATATGTATCCCTAGTAGTCAAATAAATGTAAAGAAAAATAAAATCTTACCCTGTTCATGTAACATGGTATATTTTCATGTGTAAGTTAGGCAGCTGTCATGTGCAGATGGAGATATTTGCATGTGCAGTTAAACATAGGTGAAAATCAAAGCCTTGTTGTAACTATAGACTTATTTTGTTTCTGGAAGGAGATAGAGAAAGGCCAGCTACCTACATGAAGCTTATTGTTGGCCCATCTATATGGCGATCCCTTTGGGAGATCCCACAGCTACCAGTCATGAAATCTTACCAGAATAGACAGCAATTCAGGAAGTTTATTTCCCCCAAATTCTGGTGAATGTCTAGTATGACGCATAAGGACATGTATAATTTAATGTTCCTAAGCATTCCTGTTGAATTTAGTGGGACTCTTTAATGTGTGTAAAGTTATACACATGCTTAAATGGTATGCTATGTCAGGGCATAAATCTTGGCCTGTCTTCCTTTTTGTTCAACTGGCACTTCCAGCATATTTCTGTTGCCTCTAGTACATTTCTGCATGCTTTTTGCTAACCCTGAAACATTCCTTAGCTGTGCTAAAGTGCGCTGCTCATCTAGGAAGTCGCTTTAAAATGACAGATTCTTGTCTGTGAATTAAGTGCTAAAACTGAGTCGCGTTGTGTTCAGTGAAATGAAGTATCATTGGCAGAAATTCAACTGAGTTTCAGCTAAGTTGGGGTGATTTTGTTAAACGACTCTTAATCTTTAAAAGAAAGATCTTCCAAGATACTCAGCACACAGGGGGATGAGCTCTTGTGAACACTGGTTTAGGAACCTTAACAGAAAAGGAGATCTTTGGTGAATTTGGTCTCAGATATGGGTTATGAGCATAAGGGAGTCCAGTTCTGAGATCTTTGTCAAATTTGACCCATGGTGTGCAGAACTTGCCATATACTGTAAGCCTATTCACCAAAATCACTTCAGTGCACTCCTAAGTTTCTGGCCAGCAGCTGGCTAGCACAATACAATGAACCTCTGTGACCTGTGGCCAGACAGCTACAGACTCGGTGTGTCTATATGAGAGGCTTAACTGTGCATTTAGTATAGTTTGCTGCAAAGTAAGCATGTGTGTCTACACGTACATGTGCTTACTATACAGAACTGGTGCTGGGAGCTCCCTGGGGGGCGGGGAGGTACAGGGGATCCTGCTCCTTGCCCACCTTTGCAGGGGATTGAGGCATGGAGCTGCAGGGGTGGGGTAGGTCCCAGTCCCCTGCCCCAGTCTGCTGGTGGGGCAACTAGCAGCAAGTTAGCGGAACATTGTCCCTGCCCCAGCAGCAGGCAGCTGCTTGGGGCCAGGAGACGGCTGTTTCCTGGCCCAGTGTTCCCTTCCAGCCCCTTGGCTAGCATGCAGGGGGAGCCTTGACCTCCCCCAAGTGGCAGCAGGGGCCCATTGCAGGGCTGCAGGACACTTGGTGCAAAGAGCAGCAAATCTCCTCCCTAATCCCTACATGTGTAGACACCTGCCCAAAAGCATTTACTCCAGAGTATTTTACACCAGAATAAACTTAGGACAAATCAAATGCATATGTAGATGTGTCCACTGAGTAACAGACACCGGAATAATGCAATCACTTCAGCTTGCTCACTTCTCTCTCACCAGCGTTTTCTATATTCTTGCATTCTCACCTCCAGTTTTGGGGGTATAGAGAATCCGGAAACTTTCTACTCGGGTTCTTGGAAGCATCCAGGTGACTGTAGCTGAGTTTTCAGTGATGTCAGTGAAATTGATTCCTTTGGGAGATCCCATGGCTACCAGCAGAGTAGGGAGAGCAAAGAAACACACCATAGAGAACACAGAAAAAGTTAGATCATGTATATATCCATCCTTCTCACTGGAATAACATTGATTTCAAGTTTCTATCCAAGGAGAAAAAAAGCTATAAATATTCCATCCACACAATGCTAGATCAAAAGATTCCATGCACTTACGATTTTTTATCACACACTTAGAACAATCTTCCTTTTGGTTTTGATTTTTGTTCAATAAAATTACAGCAGTGTTTAGCCTGGTAAAACAGCTGCTAACTATATATACATAGGATCCTATAATACAGGGAAATACTGGAGACTTCAGTGGCTATGAAAAATTTACATTTATGGGACAATTTTAATTTTTTTAATTACAGAAACTCTGCTCTAGTCATAATCCAAATTCATTCAGATTATTTTTAGTTTTTTATTTAATCTCCTGAATCTCACTCGTGCATCCTGAAATTTATTTGTCCATAATTGTCTTTAGGTTGGAAAAAGTCTGCTTTCAAGCTACCAAGGCTGTAATAGGGTGGAAGGCCACTAAGGTCTTGAAACTCGGGTCTAAGTGCATAAAAAGCCCTGTCCTATGAGATGCTGGACATCCTAAGTGCCTGCTGACTGCAAAGGGAGCTGAGGGAGATCAGTAATTTGCAGGATCAAATCCTAAATGATATTGCAGAATCCAGAAAAATAAAACTGAAGCCTAACCCAAATAAAAGTTGGTGAAGGCGCAGGGTAAAGAGGGAACCCTTTGCACCAAAGGAAGGACTTCCAGCTTGCAGAGAGAAGGCAGCAAAATCCTACCTCATTCTCTTTGCAGTAGCAGACAATAGGTTAGGGGTATCCACTGGGACCACAGCTGTAAATGAACCTGTCTGCTGATGTGTATAATGGACTATAGTATCATCTGTGGCATGGCTATACTAATCTTACTAATACATACTGCTAACTCTGTACCCTGATTACCAAAAAAATGAAATAAAATAAAAAAGAAGGAATTCCCTCACTTTAGCCCCAAAGTAGGGCCCCTCACTTAAAGCCTCTTTAACTTGGTCTTTGCATATAAGATTAGGATTTTACCATAGGGAGAAAGACAGGAAAAATACTTTCCCTGGCTCTGAAATGATGGAATATTTAGAGTCAGAGAACAAATGGTTTAGAGGGAGGTAGAAAGGGAAGGAATTTATTTAATTTTCACTCCTACAACTAAAACTGTTTCTCTTGCTCTCTCCAAAGTGAGGGTCCTCACTAGTCAGAATTTAAAGTGGCACAGATGAGCCATGCGCCTTGTGAAGGAATGGCAGCTCATGTTTGAGCAGCAAACTCTTTGGGCAGAAGCTGTCTTATTCTGTACACCAGTGAGCACATTGTTGGCACTCAATAAATAAGAATAACAACATAGGGTGGATTCATTGGTATGCTCCAGTAGCTTTGTGCCTCTCTGGAAATGCCAACCAGTTAAGCTGGATTTGTGTCTGATTTGCATTACCAGAGGAACAGCAGCCAGAGCATGCACAAAATATAGATCCATTTTTATTTTTGCATAGGTGGAACCCGTGAGCTCATGGATTTATGAGGGGAGGTGGGACTGTGATGTAATAATATTTTTGGGGGCACTGCTTTTAAACAGTCACACACACACACACACACACACACACACACACTTCTTGCCTTCCCAAAACTGTCTCCTGATTTTGTATACATGATGCCTGGAATCAGACAGTGTTTAAATCTTGCTGCATGCACTACTTGAATAATTAGAGTAACTCATGGGCGTTTTTGAGATTCAGTCTGAAGATGGATAACAGCATTTTGCCCTCGACTGAAAAATATTTCAACAAGCTGGAATTTAAGTTACTGTGATTTGAATGTGGAGGGGCCCCCAGCAGCACTGGGGGAAGAGACCTGGTGCTGGATAGTTTATATTCAGGCATTTCAGTCCTAATCTGCTTTTTGACTGTAACCAAAACAACTCTGATGAGTGTTAACAAAAATAAATAGCCCACACAAGAGAAGTCAATTAGCAGAGGAGGGACAAATACCAAACACGAGCCACATTTAAATGATCGGTGGAGACATGCCAGTGTGTAGGGTGAAGAGAAAAAAGAAGGCTCTGAGTAAGACAGCTTGGAAAGATTCCAGAAAAGGAGTTGAGGAGGGTTGTAGGCTCCAGGTATTCCAGGAGTTCCAGCGCCAGGAACGCTAAATCGGTTGAAGCAAAAGGAAAGGAAAACAACCTAAGCTCCCCTGAGAACTGTAAATTATCTCCACAGTTTTCTGTAGACATTGGTTCTAGAAGTGTGTTCAAAAGTAAGCACCCCCCCGCCAAAAAGCAAAGCAAAAAGCAAAATAGGTTAAATAAAGTTGCATCGCACTCAGCTATGGTTGCCAAGTTAGCCATGAAGTGACAATCTGAGGAAAATTAAACAGTAATAAGAAATACAACGGGGGATAAAAGAGTTTGGTGGCTTGAGCTTGTACTCACTCAGGCCATCATGCAGTAGGACTCATTATAATCCACCTTTAGCTACCTACTTTGGTGCTGCCAAATGCTTTTTTGCCATCAAAGTCCAAATGTTCTTGAAGACTAATAACTAGTAAATCAAAAAGCTATTTAGCTTTCCTGGTGCCATTGACTGTCATTGTCAGGAATGGTATAACCTGCCGCCTGAGTTATTTAGTTGCATTTTTATGGGCCCATATCTATTATCAATTATCCATGGGCTATTTATGGGTGTTTGTCTTTTGCACCATTGGCTTCAGTAGCTGACATGCCCCTAAATCTTTCTGAAAGGGCTGAATAAGAATGTAGTCATGAGGAAAATTATAACTGCCAGTGATTTACCATAAATATCCTGTGAGTCAGTGAAAATGGGGACACGCTGCTAACAAGTACAGTTGACTTTAAACATTTCCCTGTTGTGAGTCAAACCTTTGGTGAGAAGAAAGGTTGTCTGTGATGGATGGACGCTCTGCTTAGTGCAAATGTCTCAGAGACTACGTATATTCATTTGCTGTTTATTTAAGAGAGTGATTGTAATCAGTTGGGAGCTCATCAGAAATGTGCATTTTCCAGCTAAGAATTAGCACCATAATTGGTTAGATGAATCATGGTGCCATGCATCTCAGGAGATGCCTTTTCAATACTGATTTTATCATCAAAGCCTTTTAAGACATTGAATAAAGATAATCAGTAAAAGTTTTGCAAATAAGTAACTTCTTTTTTTGCTTGTAGGACTGAACAAACAAACAAAAAAATCAAGCTGATTTGAAATGAATTTTTAATTTTTTCAGTAAACAGAATTTTTAAAAACTATTTGGGGTCAAACAGCATCATTCGTTCATCCAAATAAAGAATTTGAATTCTTTTTCAAGCATTTAATATTTTTCTTAAACAAAAGTGACCTAAATTTCAAAATGTTTTGTTTCAGCGTTGTTTGGAACTGGAAAAAAACCCCTAAATGCTTCATTGAAAAATGTCAAACTGAATGCTTCAGCTTTTGTGGGAGGCGTTCTGCTGGTTTTTGACCAACACACTTGGCAAATCTAGCACGAACTTGCAAAATGTTTTATCTGACCACTGTTGGAAAACAAAATAGGTACTCCCCTACTGCCTCGGCATTCTTTTCAGGTGCGGACAGAAGTGCAGCCCTACTGAGAATCCCTCGCAGGAAGTGTTCTGAGTTACAGTGATCCCCAGGAACAAACAGAAGTTCACTGTTGGTTCCAGGGAGGAGGGGATCTAGCTGCTGGCTGGGAGCCTGCAGTGGGTTTCCCCTGCCAATGGCTGCTGCTCCCTGCAAGGCTTCAAAGTTTTCAGAAAGAGGAAGGGAGCAGGGGGAGGTCATTCTAGGGGTTCCCCAGCCAGCTGTGGAGGGTGAGGTGAGTGAATTGCACCCCCCCAACCTCAGAGGGGCTGAGGCAGGGGCTCCAATACCCTCCAGCAGGGGCTGCACATCCCCTAGACTGAACTCACCCTGCTCCCTTTCCTCCCCTCCCATGCTGAAAACAGCTTGAGGCTGGCAGGCAGTGCAGCTGGAAGTTATAAAAGACTGTATTTTGAAACATCTTCATCTGACCCCTCATAGTAATGAGGGGTCAGATTTTCACCCAGTCAGTCATTTTTAAGCAAGCTGCAGCTTTCCATTTGTGTTTGGTCATAGCTATAAACTGCTTTCTGTGGCCAGACCAGGCAACAATTGTCACTTTTGTCTGTGCCCTTAATGGCCCTCTCCTCCTCTCAACTGTAGTGGAAGGGTGGGGGGTAGAGTGCTCTGAAAGTGGGGTTTAGTTTTGGTAGAGATTTTTAATGGTACCTAAGGGAGTTAGACACTCAAGAATAATGCAGTGGATGTACTGGAACCACAACATTACTGTGTTTGTTGCCCTCTCTGGCTCCATTAAAGTCAGAAGAGTTCCACCCATGTAAAGCTGGTATAAGGCACTGTGGAATCAGGCCATGGTCTCTTCTTTTAAAAGATAAAATAATATTTGTAACCGCTTGCACCTGCTTTTTCCACTGAGGATGCTATTAGGTGGTAAATTCAGCTGAGTAGTCACTGATACCAAAGTGTTTTGCACACTAGTAGTACCTATGTCCCGTGTATCCTCCATGTGAAAACTACAAAGCATTTCACAGATATTAAAGGCTTAATTCTGTCAGAGACTAGAGACTTCTGTGTCACGTTAAGCATCTTCAGCTGAAGGTTGACAGCGGTTAGTATCTTGCAGATCAAGACCTAATTGATTAGTCTCTCAACACCCCTGGGCCCTTGGTGAGATTTATTAGCCTTTTTTTTATATGTTGGCAAGCTGATGTAGGATAGCGATATGTGACTGTAGGCTGTCCTAAAGACAACAGGGAGGTTCATGGGAATGACCAGCAAGAGGGAAAACACTTTTTGCTCCTGAAATCTATGCTGATCCCTAGACTCTGTTGTCTTACCTTCAGGTAACAAGTATGAAATAAAGCACTCAGTCTTTTATGACATAATGAAGACAGTCAGGCAGAAGAAGGTGAGAAAGTTCCATCAGATTAGGCACATGGCAAAGAACCACAAAATGTGGGTTACGAATGTGGGCAAGAGACAGTCTGTGAAATTCAGCGGACAACTTGGATAAGAGATGGAGAGAAATTAGAGAGAGTTATGCGCATGATGCTTTTCCCCTCCATTGTAGGGACAATACCTGTGATAGCTACTGTATTTATGGGTTGGGAACGCCGTCCACTGATAATTCCATAGAGTTCAATTTCATACTCAGTACCCTCTTTCAGCCCTGTTATATCTTGGGTGCGTTCATGACCTGGTACTATACGTTCCCATGGATCAGACTGCTTTTTGATATCCCTGATTTTAATAAAAAAGCTGTCGAAAACCCCATCATCTGCAGTCCAGGAAAGACGGAAGCCATCTGGGGTAGCATCTGAAACCAGAAGGTTGTCGACCTCAGGTTCTGCTTCTAAAAAAGGAGAAAATAGCAGTAGGGAAAAGAAATGATTGATCACATAAACATATTTTTTTTACCAGTTCATAGTGACCTGCCTTAGGTCAGGTTACAGCGTGCTATAAGAATCCAGCCACAGTTCAAAGAAATGGAAACAGTTGGCTTGCTATTAAAAGGAGGGGGGAAAAGCCCAGTAAGGGTTGAATCTTCAGAGTGATACATGTGTAGTACAAGATGTATGATAATGTGTAAGTGGGCATGTGCAAACTTTCAATATCCAACAATGGAACCATTATCGGGATATATAGGATATGCCCCTGTTGTGCATTAATAAACATGCTGATATTTATTTGTTCTCTGTCTTCCACTAGAGTTATACATCCCTTGTGAGACCTTTATTTTTTTTTAAAAACCCATCATTAATAATTTACAGCAGCGTCTACAATACCGCTTGCTTCTCCACATTTGATAGGGAAGAAAAGCCCTATAGAGAAGCCACTGAAGAGATTCCTTCCCTTATGCCAAACACTTTTTGCACATGGTCCTAGCCTTCCTGATGTTTCTGATCAAAGCTGAATTAGAATATCCACTTCTCCTTTGAAATAAATGAAGAATATTGAAGACCCATATCCTCTAAGCTGTACCTTTATGTCCAAAAAAAATATTTCTAGAACCTTTAGTGTCATCTTTGGAGATAGAAAAGGAGGGGAAATATTGCTGGTCTATATTTCATTGACTGTTTTTAACCATGTTATATCAAACAATTTGACTTCTGTGAGTCATGCTACTTAACCCAAGGATAGGTCTGCACTAATTATTTTCTTTATCTCCCTCATAATATGCCCCTGGGTTCACTAGCTGCAGCAATCTTGTCTAAAATTTTACTGTCATCATCAGCAAACATTCTAGTATCTCCAATGTACTTGCCTTTTCCACAGTGAGAGGTGCACATTTATATTCATGCCAACATTCAGATGAATAACTCAAGCTTTGCTGATATATGGAGTCAGAAAACTCATTGGATGGAATCTGATGGAGGGTAGAGTTTGGACTAGAGAGGCAGTCAGGTAACAGTACTTTTCAAGAAAGCCTAGATGCAGCTGAAGAAGCTCAGCTATGATGAGTATGAGAGAATGGGCAATCATATGCTGACAGGAACACCAACTCTGCTAGTTGTAATGATCATTCTTGATTTTTTTTTCTTAGTCAATCTGCGTACAGAATGAAAGGAAGGAGCTTATGGGCAGGAAGTTCATAATAACTTTCTTCCTGAATGGTCCTCACAGTTGGAGAATTTTGAGATGCCAGAGGTTGTTCATTTGATGAACTTCTGAGTCCAGTCTCTTTTTTTTTAAAGACTCCCATAAAGGATTCTTGCATGGAGCAAACATTAGCAATTCTCCCTTCCACCCTCCTCTCATTTTTTTTTTTCCATTGAACCCCATACAGACAGGAAATAAAGAAAGCACCAAGAAACAGGGGATGAAATCATGCTAGTGAACCTATTGATCATGATGAAGTATGTGTTGCCATGATGAAGAGGATGCAAAAGCCATGGTTGTTTTGCAAATGGATTGCACAGAACATCTTCCAAGTGAGAATATAAGTGTGAAAGGAAGGATTGAAAAGAATAATTTGTTCACGTTAAAATACCTGTAATGGCCACAATGCTTAGGGGCTTTGTTTGGCGCCCCTTGGCAAAACCATAAAGCATAACCTCATAGCCAATGCCAGTAATAAGGCCTTTAAGCTTCAGATGCCGCTGGGTTCCTGTAAGGAGGAACTCTTGTGGGTCCAGCAGCTTGCCAGAATCCACCACGATTACTAGAAAGTTGTCAAAGGCATTCTCCGATGCCATCCAGGACACTGTGAACCCATAAGGGTTAATGTCAGAGACAGTTAGATTTTCCAGTGGGGGCATGGCCTCTAAAAGAAGGGAAGGTGCAAAAAACACAAAAAAGAAAAGAAGCGAAAAATATTGCAAGTTAAACAGCGTCATGGAAGCCACCATAAATCAGTCATAAACCTCCCACAACCCATAGGATTTAATGGAAATGCATGACCAGCACAACAAAGGAGGGATTTTCAAAGGAGCTTAAAGGAGTTAGATGCCACATTTCCATTTAACATCAGTAGTATTTCAGCACCTAACTGTCTTTGGCCTCTTTGAACATCCTCAACATAAGTGATTAAACACATTTATTTAATTTCACATGCACACAGTGAATCATAAATAATACAGGCTTAGAAATTATTTGGATAATTTAATAAAAAGCCTGATATTTCTCCTCCTGTATCTAACTTTGAAGCACTATCTTTTGCTTTTTCTTCCAAGGATTGACCCAGTAAAATTAGAATTAAGGTCATTGGAAGCACAAGTTCTCAATTACCCAAGGATTATTTCTTTGAAAAAATGAAATTTCACTAGATAAAGTTGGGGGCTAATGGCTTCAGATCAGACTAGCTACCTAGTCAAAATTAATTATGGGCAACCTTCCCTTTTTATGTCAACAACTTAAAGGTATTCCAGTATAGATTTCCCTCCTCCCTGATAATTTTCAGACCAAAATATCCTTAGTTTTAATTTAAGGGATTGTCAAGAGTTCAGTTGCCACTGACCATTAAAATAAGTGGCTGGATTTTTCAAAGAGCTCATTTAAAAATATGCACAATTTGACATAGTGATCTGGTGAGTACGGAGCTTTTTTTTTTGGCCTTCAGGGAGGCTACTAAACATCACAATCTCATTCACAAATTCTTGCCCCAGTTGTCCCATTTTACTCCATTCATAAAATCTATCACTCCTACAAGACTAAGCTTCCATTTACTTCAATGGATATTTATAAATAGTGTTTTGTTCTGTTTTTTTTTTTAAGTAACACGCTTCTGTTGGAAAAGGCAAGTTAGTCAAAATCAAACTTTTATGCAGGAAAGGGGTGGTTTTGACAACTGGTTTGAACTGAAACCAAATTTGAAAAAAGTAATAGATGATCATAATAGTTTGTTTCAATATTTTTGAACAAAAATTCTGGCTTTCTGGTGCAAAATAACTTTCCTTTTATTTTAGATTTTTAATAGAACTTGTCAATTACTCTGAACAGAAAGTTATTCAAGACTTTAAAATAACCAAAAATGTTTAGATTCTATCTTTGGGAAAAAATGGAATCTGTAGCTGAAGTGGTGCTTATATATGGAGGAGTTTGTGGCCTTGATTTTGCTTTTTATTAGTCAGCTTGTGATTTTAATACAAGCTGAAGATGTCTACAGCAATAGGTTCCTGCTTTTAGATTTTGCATAAACCTAAATGAAAATGAATTAATAAAACAGATACTTGGTCAACCAAAGGCTAATTTGTGAAGGGCCAACCGGTGAGAAATTACACTAGACATCTCACTGATTTACTGAGAGCTCATGCCAGTAACTGCTGCTCTCCAATATGGTTAGTAGAAAATATTTGATTTTTCTGAATAATTTACAAAAATTATGTTCTGCCAATGCTACTCATTAGTAACAGTAATGGGTTTTCAGCTTTACAGGATATTACTACCACTTCAAAAGCCTCAAATAGGCTCTAGAGCTAAAGTCCTGGCCCTTTGAAATTTCACAAGTCGCACAGAAAGGAGCTGTCAACCTCACACACTGTCAGGACTACTCAGTGTAACTGAGCCTACAAGACAGCAGGAATCTTAAACAGGCAGTGCTGCTCTGAATCCCAACAAGTGCAGTAGATTAGATTATCGGCCTTGTGGTACCAGCCACATATGCTCATTTGTCCACCTGACCCTGCTGCACACTTTCTCTGGGCCTCCAATACCGAATGATCTCTTTAAGTGTCAACATCATTATGTGATCTGAAGCCACTAAGCATAGCCAGCATTGCTGGAGCAGATATTTTGTTACATAGGGGAGCAAAAGAGAAAATTCTGTACTTTGCTCCATGGCAAAATAAATTTTAAAAGCATAAGTAAAAAAAAAAGAAACCAAAAAGAACCTTTAAATGGGTACCTGTCATGACAAAAGCAGTGAGGGGCTCTGTGTGGACACCTGCACTGGTGGTGCCCTTAATATTAATGTCATAGCCAGTGTAATCTACCAGGCCTGAGATGTGAGCGTTGCGGGCACCTCCCGACACTGTAAGCTCCTGAGGTTCGTGTGCTGAATAGGAATCTCTAACATTTATAACAAACTTTGCAAAAGGCCCATTTCTTGTGGTCCATGAGAGGTTGAAGCTGTCGGGGGTAACGTTTGTGAGTGTTAGCGTGCCCAGCTGTGGCTCAGCCTCTGAAGGGAAAGGAACACAGGTGAAGAGAAAGCATTACTTAGCGAAGAGCTGTGCTAATAAGCAATGGAGGGTTATGGCTGCTTAAAGCTGTGTCTGTACTGCATTGTACTTAGCTTTTAGCATCTGTTCTGCAGCAGGTAATAGAATGACAACCTGGGTATTCATAACAACTGTTTGAATGCTGGTGGTATAATTTCAATTGCATTTTAACTTGTTCTTTTTTTGTTGTTGTTGTTCTATTTCTTAAGAAAACTAGATTTTTAGAAATTATCTTCAGAACTGCCAGATGCATGCTGCCCAGGTGAATTCAAAGAGAACTGGCAAATGGTCAGCACCTCTGGAAATGAAGCTGTGAGGCCCAAACACACAAAAGCACATAGACACCTCAAGTCAGCTCTCTTCTCAATATGTCCTATTGGCTAGTTTAGGCAGCCAAGTATTTTGGCTATTGGGGGTTTCAGTGTGCAATGTCTAACTCTCTCCCCCTGTATCGGACTCATCTTGTAGGTGCTTAACCCACAGCTATGGATTATGGTAGAAGCAAAACACCTACATGATAAATCCCGTAATGCAGAGTGGTGCAGCATCACTTAGCCCCTTTGTGTAATGTTCAGGAATATGTACCAGGACTTTATTTTGAAAAAGCCAAATCTATTGGATAAAACAAGGGAGATTTTCATGCATAAAAGTCAGAGAGCTTCATGCACAGAAGAAGGTCAATATAATTATCCCCATCAGTGGGCTATGGGGACAATAAGGCTTGGTGTATTGAAGTACAGGAACTTGTTTGGATCACCCAGCAACTAGTGGCAGAGAAAATTACAGGAATTCAGGTAGGATAAGTTCCAGTCAAGGACCTTTATCTATTTAGCCATATTGTTGAATATTGAATGAAGGCCATTATACTTTTTTAGTCCCATATTCTTCTGATGATAAAAGCCTTCCTCACACACAGAAATGTCCCATGTATTGATCTCATCCTCAAACTGAATATCTTGAACTGGAGCAAAGCCATTTATTTTATTTTTAAATGAATCAAAAAATCATTTATGGAAACCCCTTTTATCAAAATGTTTTGGGACACCTTGGTGAAATGGAATCAGTAATTATTTAGGGGAAGTAATTCTATAAGTGATTCATGCTGGGGAAGATAACAGACATTTGTCAATGAATAACAGAACAACTGAAGAGCAAAACTGTATTGATAACTGAAATAACTGAAGTGCTGCAAAATGTTCCAGAACTGATTCTCCCACCCAAGACTCAGAGTAAATGATCTAGGAGAGAGTTTGTCCCCCCATTCCCTAGTCCAGGAGCAGGTGCATCTAAGTGCCCCCAATTAAGGATGCATGCTGGGTCTGTCATCATGCTGTCATCTAGTGACCAGTAGTGCCAGCATGGTTGGTAATGAAATTGTCATTGGGAAAGCTTAGTGCTTCTGAAGACTGGGATGCAGAGGCAGACAACTGTAGATGGAGAATGTAGTGATACCAGACACAGACCCCTCAGCCCTGCATGCAGGTTGAAGAGAACAATCTTTTCTATCCCGATCCTGAAACAGGCACATTCCGTCACATGCCATTTGCATCCATGTCAAGCAGGCCCATATCATGGCACCCAAATTCCAGGAGTTACTACATGCAACACAAGGTGAAAGTATCTCTCCAGGCAAGGTTTAGTAGGATCCCAATATTCTGGAGTCACCACCAGCATTCAGAAGAGCTCTGGCATCCAGTGGAAAGCACTGAACTGTCCATTTAAGACTCACCAGCAATGATGCAAGTGATAGAGTGGGAGGCTGATCATCAAGAAGGAATGGACTTCTTTTTGATCCCAGCTTTTTACTAGTGGGGGGACATGAAATATGCCAGGCAGAGAGAACACTTTTGGACCAGCGTTAGATAACTGGACCACTCCATGCAGTTCCTGTTGGTGATTCAGCATGCCACAGAAAACAACAGTAGAGAAATGCAAATGCCAATACCATAAGAGACATGTGACCTTTACAAACAAGGAACCAAAATGGCATGCAGATGCCTTTTTGGTAGGACAAAGAGAGTTCACCCTCATGGAGGGTCACAGGCAAATGAGGATGGATGATATAGAATGAATGACAGTATTATTTCAGACCAAAGGCAAAGATATTCCAGAGAAATCCATCTGGACCAAGTCAGTTATATATATACACAGAACTTGCAGATAAGTGTATATATAAAGAAACCAATCAGAGGTTTACTATGTTGCTCCCTTAATGATGGGGACACTTTTTCAGCCTTTCCCATGGTCCTAGATATCCTTTCTTTAGAATGGGCTTGGGTTCAGCTCATTCAACTTGTTCCCACACTAAAGAAGGTGACTTAGATGAGCAATGGTGATGTCTGACCAGAGCCATGTTTTAGAGCAGCTTAGAAGACAGTGGAAGAAACAATAGAAAAAGCAAACCTTGAAGATGCAATACCTGTGGTTGCCACTGCTGTCAAAGTCTGACCAATTTGCCCATCAACTAGACCATGGAGTTGGACAGTGTAATTAGTGGCAGCTCTTAGATTGGTGATTACAAAACTTCTTGAAGCCCCTGACACTGTGTGCACCAGGGAGTCCAAAGGCAAGTCAGAGTTTCTGACTTCTAAAACAAAGTGATCAAAGGCAGTGTCCTGTGCTTCCCACGTGAGAGACGCACTGTTTGAGGTAGCGTTTGAGACAGTTAGTTTGCTAAGGAGAGGTTCATCTACTACAAGAAGAAAAACAAATGGACATGTGTTGCAATTATTAAAACACAGAGTAAAAGTAAAATGAAATAAAACAAATAAAAAAACACTAATCAGAGGTGGAAAAAAGACTTATTTGATTATCTAGTCCTGATGCCCCTTCCCCATTCTATCCCAGTCACAGTTGAACCAGACTCACCCCAGTCTCCTTTAGCAATATAAGAGCAGCTTGGCCATGACCCAGTGACGGCTCTCTGCAACCTACAGTCCCCAGGTGGAGAACTCCAAATTCATTTAACTTCCAGAATGCTATTCTCCACACAGAAAATATGGCTGTTGTTGATTTAGTCACAGATACATGCTACTATGCTAAACTATGCCTGATTTCCTAAAGTTCTGCAGATCTTTCTGGTATAATCATATCGGGGTGGAATCAAAATTCCTCACATTTATACCTCTCCTAAGGTGAAACGCCTATTCTTTGCAATCCCTGATGAAATACAAGTGGTTTTATCTGTGTAATTTCTCCCTAGGCTAACATAGGCATTGTACTAAGAGATAAATTTGTTCAAACTGTGTCAAAATGCAACAGTTAATATGGGTGTTAAATAGGGGTGTGCAAAGCGGGCCCTGTTAGATTTGGATTTGGATTCAGCCCGAATCGGGGACAGTGATTCAATTAATTAGTTCGGATCACTCTTCCTGATTCGATTCGGCTGAATGTAGGTATGGAGATTTGAAGCCGATTCGGAGAATCAGCAATTTGGACACAGACACAGCTTTAAAAGTTTTTTCTACATTCTTTGAGGTACCAGCATGACTTGAGATCGCTGCGATGCTGGGGCAGATGGAGAGTCCCACAGGAGCACGGGGGGGCCTCCACATGCTCAGCAGCAAACCCAGAAGTGGGCTTGAAATATTTCCAGACAACTTCCAGGTCTGCCAGGGAGCGAGCTGGGACCCCCCCTGTGCCCCTCCAGCTCAGCAATCAGCTGCAGGGGGACCCTGGGTGCCCCCCCAGACTCAGGAGGCACCAGTCACCGAACTCGGAGGTGTGGGGTGCTCCCTGCACACTCCCTGGCGGACCCAGAAGTGGACTGGAAGTGCTTCTGGTCCACTTCTGGGTCTGCTGCTGAGAGCGCTGCACTCCTGTGGGACACTCCATGTGCCCCAACATCACAGCACTCATGAGTTGCGCCAGGTATCTAGAGGTATGTAGAAAAAACATGTAAAGCTGTGTCTGTGTCCGGATCTTTCCGAATTTTTCTGAAACAATTCAGAGGGTTACAATTCAATTTGGAGAGATTAAAGGGTCCTCTGATTTGATTTGGATTCAGAGATTCATCCATCGAATTGGCCGAATCTTCACCAAATCAAATCAGGGACCAAAGCATTGCACAGCTCTCGTGTTAAACTATTGTGTGAGATAAACTACTGAGAGGAGATTTAGTAGTTTTGTAATTGGATATCTTACTACTTCCAGCTTTATGCTATTATTAATCTAATGGCAGATTTCCTTCTTTCCTTTTAGGGTCCTTGCTAAGACAGGATGAAATGTGAAACTTCAGGTTGTACTAGGTGGTAAAATATAAGTCCATACCTATTCTGTATCAGTATGGGCCCTATGCATCCTTTTTGTCTTTCAGCAGCAGTTATTTGAGGTTTTAACTGGAATTAAAGTGGTGTATTTACTTTGTACAAATCCACTCACAGCTTGAATTTCACCTGAAACCCATGCAAAGCAGCAGCAAGGGAACTCCTCCACCCCAAAACAACCTTTACCTATAGCTACTACAGCTTCTTATTCAAGAGAAACAGCACCCCCTGAATGCATCATAACAGATACAGACATGTCACAAAGCTGAGGTGTTTATAGAAAAACATCACCTCAAGGCTCAATTCTTGAGATGACTTACTGAGTATCCCATTCTCTCTGAAGTTGTCCCTATTCTGATGGAGTCGAGCAAGAGAAAGCTTATTATTTCTGCTGTGGGTGAAATCATCTCTCATAGTCATGCATGCCTCTCCCTGAGTGGGATCATGGTTAAATGTAACCTTAATTTAAAACATCTCCCATCACTCTTCATCGGAAAATGTGAATAAGGATAAGCTGATGGGAAGCTGGGTGGGAGAAGTAAGGTCAGGGAAAAGGGATGGCCCTGTAAGGAGAAAGAAGAGTTAGAATATGAGGTAGGTTTATATACCTGTAGTAACAGCAACACTTATTGCCTGTGTGCGGAAACCAGGAGTGATCCCATAGAGGTAGACAATATAATCAGTGCTGGGGGATAGCCCTGAGATATGAGCAGTTCTTAAATTGCCTGAGATGTTGTACTCCATGGGCTCCAACAACCTGTTAGAATTAATGATTTCAATGGTAAAGGTCTCGAAGGCCCTTTCAGTGGCTGTCCAGGAAAGGTTGAAGCCTTCTGGAGTAATGCTGGAAACGTTTAGCTCACCAACTTCTGCGCGCATTGCTAAAGAGGAGAACAAAATGAGTTAGAATTAGATACCCCTTTGAATTCCTGATGTTCAGAAATGCTCTTCTTGCATATATTGCTTCCCATCTGCCAAAGCTCTAAGCTGACCCTGGAACAGAAGGTTCAAACAGCAGCTTGCTGCAAGCCAGCAGTAGCTAAAGAGAAGCAAGTAAAGAAGAAAAAAAAAAAAAGAAAGAAAATGTCTAAAATTGCTGCATAAAAGAAAGCTGCAAGGCCATGGCGATTTTCCATCCTTCTGAGAGCAGACATGCATCCTGAGATCTGAGCATGAAAGCAGATGTGAAAGAACAACACATTCCTTCACTCTTTTAAGAGAAGTTGAAACTTGAGCCCTTACTTTATCAAGGGGGAAAGGTTGTGTTTCATTTTAGCTCTTCCCCACTCCCTCTCAGTTTCAAGAATATGGAAGTTGGCATGTAATCCTGGAGCTAGAGCCAAAATTTGGTGCTATGATAGCCCCCTTGTGGTTTCTCTCCTCCTGTACACATCCCTGATGCTCTACATAAATGCTCAAGGAAGTCTCACAATAGGAAATCCCCAGAAAGAAAATGTCTTAAAAAGCCAGATGTCTGACCAGGAAAGAGGTGGGATATCCTACAGAGTGTCCTCTGTTATTTCTCTTGAAGTAATGTAGAGACAGAACAGAAGCCATACTTAGGCAGGAAACTGTAATGTCTCTTTTCTTTGTAGTTCTGTATTTCTTTTTTTGTTTTCTTAAAGCAATCATCTACATATTGTGACTGGAGTAGAAGCTGGGATCACCCCATACTCAGAACTCCAATGGGAAGTTTTTAATGTAGGACACAACCCAAGGCAAGCGCATCATGTCATAAATCAGTCCAGCCAGTCCAAGCTTCTTAAAGTGCCATTGCAACAAACAAGCTATACATACCCTATCTTTTAATTAGTTTTAAATTCTCCTGTGTAGATTTAACTGCTGAATAAAATGTACTCAGAAACCGCAACTAAGACCATGCTTGAGCCATCCTCCAAGCCAGAGAAAAAATTGCAGCAGATTGCAAAGGGCTTATGGGAAGCCCAGGTTCTACATGAAACAGATCATTAGCACATCTGAATGAAGAGCCACTGTGCCCCAGGTATTGTCATTTGGGAATGTGAACTAGAAAGTCCTATTTATTTCAAAACATTCTGAGTGTCTAAAAGTGACTGTAAAGTTATGTGTGACATTGAAATAATGTGAACTTCTACCATAAGTACATAGCTCAATAAGGCTGGAGAGAGATATTCCTGTGTTATATCTAATAGATAGCAATTGCTGCCCACTGCAGGTACAGCAGTAGATATAACAAATAAAACACCTGATGAGGCATCAGATCTAAATTGGAAAAGGAATAAAATTAATATTCAACTGAATAGGCAGAATATATCATCTGGGCCTGCTTCAAACGAGGGCTAATTTATTAGAGATCTGTGAATCATTACAATAAGACTATTTTTTATTTCCAAAAGATAAGCTTGAATTTATCCAATTTATGGAGCATTCTTGAGGTTTTTCATATTCAAAATCCAGATCTGAATATGAAGGTGGTGACTTAACACTCTTCTCTGCTTTCTGTTTTATATAGTGTTTTTATTATATGTTGCATTTACATCAGTGAAAGCTGAGTGAATAGTGAAGGTGAAGAGAAGAGTCATAACATTATGGTCTAAATTACAAATCATTTTAAGCAGTTTTTGGTTATTGATGGCCTAATTTTCATCTCTGACACTCATTATACATTAGCATAACTCTGTTGACTTTAGTGGAGTTATTCCCAATCTACACTACTGTCAGAGCAACAGGAGGGCAATACTGTAACATGCAATATTAACAAAGTTACATGTTTCAATGCATGTGTTTGGCCTTTGAAAGAATTCATCTCCAACCTGGTCTACTTTAAATACAGGATTTGGAACTAGAAAGGACTCCCTGGGTCATTGAGTCAAGTACCTTGCAGGCAATTTCTTCATATAATCCAGTTAATAGACTTATCCATATATTTTGTGCATTGGTTTGGCAATAGCTTTGGAATATGAAAAACACAAATGTTTGCTGTTTTGTGTACTGGGCCTATAAAAATGGGTGTCCATACCTTTCACAGGACACTGTGGGCTCTTTTTGATCATGTGCACTACAGAACTGGGTTTTGTAATTAGCACCAACAGTCAAAGACATGAGTTAAGTATGCAAAAAACAAACAAACAAAAAAAGAACAAAAAAAAGGTAAGTAAAACAATTCTGAGGAAAAATAGGCCCTTCTTAAAGCAAATGACATCATGGTGGCACTGAGACTCTTCCTGGAAAATTTGATCAGGCCAGAGGTGTTCAGCTGAGTTTTAATTACAGGCACCCATGCAAAACTGACCGAGTGTACAAGCTCTCACACCCCTGTCTTCAAAGAAGAAAGGGATGTGGAAGCAGATGAATGATTTAGAAAGGGTACCTGTCGTGGTTTCAGTGGAAAGGGGTTTGGTCCTGTAGCCCTGAATCACACCATACAGGGTGATACTGTAACGTGTGTTATCCTTGAGAGCAGTAATATTCACAGAACGCAGTCCCCCTGGGACTGTATGATTCTGAACTTCTTCTGGATTGTTAGACTCCTGCACCTGAAGGACAAAATTCTCAAAGGCCCCGTCTGCTGCTGTCCACGTGGGTCGGAAACCATCCCAGCTAACCTCTGATACTGTTAAATTTCCAAGCTCAGGTTCCTCCGCTGAATAAGGACAGAGAGTCAATCAGTTACTGCAATTACAGATTGATGAAGAAGTGGCGTTACCTAGTAACTTTCCATGTTAATGAAATTCACTTGCAAGCAGTTATGTATAGATGAAATATGCCCATTTTCAAATATGTCTACCCTTGATGACTCTTCGTAAAGTCTCCTTCAGAGACTTGGGACTGCAGAGCAGTATAATGAGAAAAAACAATAATAATAATAAACAATAGTCATATTAATATTAAAATATAGCACACAGAAGGCCATTTATATACATCTTTGGAGCTGAAAGTATTTTACAAACATGTAAAAAGCCTGACCATAAGGCATGTAAATATTTCAATAACCATTTAACAGCTGCTATTAGTAACTCAGCAGTTACTGCTCTGAAGTGATTATGATACTGCAGTTTTTCTTATTCTAAGGTTAAGAAGAAGCTTTAGCTTTTGTAGTTAATTGGAGCTGTGACTTTTGTGTTTCAAGTGGTGTCCACTTGGAAAACACCATTTGATTTTTATAAATGAATTTCTAATGCAAAATAATACAGAATGGAAAGTGTTCCCTCTGCTCCATCACCCCATCTTTAGAAATAGGTTATTAAAAAATACTACTTTGAAGTTTCCCAAGATCTTAGAGTAAGTTTCCTGGGGACAAATATGCTGGATTTTTTAAACGAATTATTACCATTATGCTAAAATAGGAATTTCAGATGTAGGATATAGAAAGCTGCCTGTATTGAGAGAATATGATTGATTCTTTGAAATTGTGGAAGTCCACAAAGGAAACATGATATTGTGGTTTGCTGTACATATAACCTATGGTTAGCCTATGAATTTAGCCAGTTCCATATGTCTCCTTTCTCTTATTTGCATTGTTGAAATCAACACACAATATTAATGATAGGACCTGATTATTCAACCACTAGTCAAACTGCTGCATACTTACTCATGTCTGCTGTTGCACTGAAATCAAAAGACCTGATTTTTTTATACCTGATATACTAGGGCCCCCTTACAACACACTCGGCATGTCTACACATGCACATGTACTGCACAGTATGGGCATGTGTCTACATGTGCATGCAGTAAATATTGCAACTTGCACTGCCTTGAGCGTAAATTTATACCTAATTAGTTACTGTGTGTGGACTGACTTGGGACTAACTAATCAGTCCGCACAGCGTTAATACACTTTAATGCCTGCATGTGTAGATGCTGGCCTATTCCTGCTTACTGCACAGTAAATTTAAGCCAGCATAAATGTATGTATAAACATGCCCATTGGGTGTAAGATGATTTATTTACACCATTTCAAGGCAGTGTAGTGTAAAGGGGCTCTAAAATACATAAGAATAAAGCTCAATGTGATGAAGGGCTAACTCCTATTTTATCTTTACATAACTAGAATGGCACTTCCAGAGCCATATAACTGCCATTTTTGACACACCTTACAAATAAGGGTTGAATGTAGTATGGGTAAGTATGTTTTATAGGGCCTAATTTATATAGCATGAGCCTAATACTCCAGAGCTCACATTACCTTCACTGGATTTATGGATGCTTAGGCCCTATGCCATTGTACAAGAAAGCAGTATCATTCAGCTCCACCAAACTCCCAACTAGCTCCCTCCCACCTTCCTGTAACCCTGAAAAAGATACTGTTGTATAGAATAACTTTTCAAATCAGTGCTGGTCAACATATATTGCACAATCCACAGCTGAGCTGTTTTAATAAAAAGCAGAAACAAAGCTCCATGATATCTAATGGAAATGAAGTATAGAAAGCACAATTCAGCTGGAAAAGGGATAGCAGGAGGACGAAAAGGAGATGGTTGCTTCACAAGTTAAAAATGTTTTATGGCTGTGTAGGCAATTGAAATAAGACATTGCTTTAAATCAAAATAAATCAATATTAGAAATAAGTGCAATATTGTTCAAGAAAAAAAGAATACAATGATTATTGTCAGTACTGAAGGTGTCATGACAACTTAATAGCAATACAGACTTCCCTGAATTTAACTTTCAATTTCCATTCAGAAATGCAGAATCACAAGGATTCTTTCCCTTTCAATTTCCTTTACAAGGGCATGCAAGTCTGATGTGGAATTGCATCCAATCCCCATCATGCTGTCTCATACAAAACCATGCACTGCACCTGCTCAAAAAAGCCTCATTGTTACATGACAATAGAGATGACGACGATGATGTGGAACAGCATATGAAGAGATGATGTTACTTAGTTAAAAAAAAAAAAAGAGTGAATACATCATGGAGAGATGAGACTGCTCTTACCACTTCCTGGCCACAGTTTGTGTGCTCCTGTGCAAAGCCTGCAACTCATATAATGATTTTGGTACTAGCATGAAATGGGAATGTTGCTAGGCTATTTGCTATTTTTTCCAGCTTCAGATTTGAACTGTGGCACCTGCTCATTATGTATGCTACATACTGAGGTTACAGAACTGATTCCTATTGCTATTGTATTGTTCAAGGAGAAACGCATGTGCTAGAGAAAGATAAGGGGCTGTTTAAAGACACAGGAAAGCCACACTCCCCATGTGTTACAACCTTTTTTTTTCCTTCTCAGTCATCACCACTTCCATGCAAACACTGCCAGAGGCTACCTGCTTGATTCTTCCTTTTGCCTAACTAGCAATCCAGACAAGTCCCAATAACATCCTGCTATTTCGCATACCTTTTAAATAGCAGATGCATCAACTTCCCTGTCCACATGCACACTGAAAAGGGACAATCGATGCTATGTCACCTGAAAGGCTGAATGAAAAACTGCCCATGCTAGGTAACTCAAAGTTCTCATTCCACAGCAACAAGGGTTTTATCCCATGCAACCCCCTC